ACATCACTCAGGTTGAAATAACTTTCATGGCAAATATATCTTGTTTAAATTTCAAGTAGCATACTCACTTCACTAACAATGGGTCTCTGCAGTTCTTGGTTTTCCTGGAATTATTCTTGCTGTTCTTTCCCATTCTAGTAGAAATTATGAGGAAATTTGTGGAATCAAGTTGTTAAAAAGGAATTTAGCAAGTTTACTTTTAAAATCAGTATACTACTAGAGACAGCATCAAATTCTACTGTGATATGTCACTACGACATTTGGTAACTTTTTTAATATAAAAAATTATAGTATTAATCAAGTGCTATCATGTGCAGACACTTCTTCTCACGATATAAATAGAGCTATGAAAATGATGTTGTTCCCGTTTTACAGTCAGGCAGAGGTTCGGAGAGGCTAGCTGCCTTCTGATCCAAATCTATCTGTATATGAACTCTCAGACTTGAGCTCTGGAGGTCCATAGTATTTACTCTAAATTTCACAGAAAACTAGAGTTCCATCAATGTAAGACATTTATCAACTATAGTTTACCTTCATGTAAGGGAGTCAAAGTGGGTAATAAGACACTGAAGACTTCATTACATAAGGACCTATCACATAAAAAAGGGAAAATGTGAGAAAAAAAAAAGTACTGATAGAAGGAATAATAACCAAGTACTAACAAATTTATGTAGATAATATGTAAAGGAATGCTTCCCTTTGTTTTAGTTGCCCAAATGGCAATAAATATTACAAATATAATTTTAAATTTTAATTCTTTTATTAACCCAATTTTAGAATAAAAGATGAAAAAAATCATGTATTACCTACCCTAAAAATATACCACTTTTTCTTTAAAATTTACCTAGCATCCATTATTATAAAATGAACACCTGACACTAGAAATGCTATTTTAATGGGAACTATATCTGAGAAAGGGTATTTTACTTGTCCTTTATTTTTAAAATGTAACAATTACAGGAACAATAGGTATATACCGGATATATTATAAAAGCATTTTTAAAACAGCTTTGAAATTACAATTCAAAAGTTGCTGTTTGTGCTTTTAAATGCTAGGTATCCAAATGCAACTCAACAAAGTTTATGGGCATTCATATCCTTAAAGGAAGAGATGTCATATAAGTTACAATGTTCAGTGTTGTTTCTGAAATCTCTGTAGCAAAACATACCATCTATATACTTAATTATACCAACATTATTTTCCAGAATAGTTACTACTTGAAGAATTTTACAAGTTTATAAACATCCGAGGTAATAGGCCAATCCAATTTGTATCTAAAGAAATCAAATCAACTTTTAGGATTCAACTAATGAGTTTATCATTTTAATAACTGCAGTAACTAAAAAAATGTAAACTTGAAAAAGTTTTCAGTACTTCTTTACTAGTTTGAGAATACTCTTTTTCTAATGGGATGGGCATAAGCTTTAGTATTCACAGAATGGATAAAGACTATAACTGTAAGGAAGACTTGTTTTAAAAATGAAGTGAATATCTAATTAACTTACTCAATTTATATAACTGCATTTTCCCCCACAAATATTTTAGGCTATGGGGGTTTTGTTTGTTTTTGTCTGTGTGTGTGTGCGCGCGCGCGCACATGTGCATGTGTGGTGTTGCCTAACTCAAACTTGTCTGGAGCCAGTGGATGAACATATTTTAGACTCAGTGGAGAGATTTTTATCAGTACACTTAAAGGCAACAGGGTGCATAATTAGGTATGCCCGCCATCTGCATAGCCCTCCAGGTGCAAAAGGCATTAGCTTTATTTAATACTACCACAACATTAATTTTACTCCATTAATTTATGTCATTTGTCCTTTATTTCAAACCATGTTGCCAAAACTAAACTATTGGAGGCAATGACCCAGTTCTAGATTTAGTAAGAGACTCATGAACAAAATCTTAAATTTCATTAGCTATAAGTATTCTTAAGAAAAGGAACTGATTAGGCTTGCTTTCACATTTTTATGAAAAGAGTCTATAAACAGAACCTTCCCTTTTTGGGGTATAATAGAGTTTTTCCAATGAGGATCAATCATGAGAACACAGGATATAGGTGACAAAGTTCTACAATATCATAAATTTCATAAGGAAAAATGTATTTCCTTTCAGTTCCTTTAAGTATAGGAAAAAGTATCCACTGAGTTATTAAAACAATTCTATTATTTACAATCCTAACAGAGCAGACCTAAAGTTTTGATTATTGGTAGGCAACAATACGTTGATAGAATTTAATAAATGCTGTTTTTCTCATAGTTAATTTACATTTATGACAAATTAGGCTGGCCTTCCATTTAAAGTTAGTAAGATAAATCCTCATTTAATCACAATTAAGATTAAAATTAAGTCTTCCTTAATGAAAAATATTTACTAACTAAAGTAGAGTTATAGGCGAGTAAGGGACAGATAAAGATTATATGAGAAGCAATCAAAAAGTTTGTATAAATCCAAGTTCAAAAGATAAAGACATAGTCACACTCATTTCATTTTTATGAAAACTGAAAGCTATTGAACTTATTTTAACTCTGTCTTGCAGGACATGATGTATAAAATATTACAAATTCTGGATAATCTGTGCATGGAATTATATACATACACAATTAACATTCCAATTTTCTAGAGAAAGGTAACCAACTATATGTTTTACTGAACAGAATAATATACTTCTAGATTAATGAAATTTAGAATGCCAAGAATTTTAAGATAGACTCAAAAGAACAGTTGGTATTTCAAGTTCATCAATGACGTGGAAAATCATGTCTTCCAAACACAATTGCACTTGTTTCTAAAAATATGCACATAAGAAAGAGAAGGGTGAAGAAAGGATCACAAGGTATTCATCAATGCCAAGCCTTCTCAAAAAATTGTCCAATGTTAAACAAGTTGAAGTTCCTTTCTCAACATACCTAAAGCAGTCTTGATGGTAGTACTTTTGGAAACATGAAGAATCATTTTCAGTGACAGAATTCTGAGATTATCACAGAGGGTAATCTTTTTGATGATTTCTTTTAAGGATTTAATATTGAAGGATAAACTTATATGTAGTATATATGTAGCATATGTAGTATATATGTATATATGTAGTATAAATATAGTGTATACATATATATAGTTTTCTAATTTACATTAAAAATGACAGGGTACTACTATATTTAAAGGAGGAAAGAAGTTGCAGTGTTAGTACACATAAATCACTTTAAACGACATTAACTAGTTTTCATTTAAAATTTTTCTTGCCAACAATTTCTTTCTTCTTAAAATAACAGTGAGTAATACCACTTTAGAGATAACCCCATTTATAAAGGGGCAAAGTTAATTCTTAGTGGACAAAGTTGAATACTGTCTTTGCACAAATTAAAACACCTGTCACTGACATGAAACAGCATACCAGGATTGCTGAAAGGAGGTGATGAGAGTTTTGAAACACACATGCATCCATATCCATCTATTTGCTCCTGTCTTTCTGTAGGCATCCTTTCAATTTCTTCACTTCCTTTGACAGAGATATAAAGAAAGGTACTGCTACCCTGCACGGTGTTCTGAAACAGTAACCTAGCTGCCCAGATCTAAGGAAACCAAATACAGTATACTTCACAGGAGGAATGATATCCCTTTGCTTCCTCAGATCTATTTTCTTAAAACACACACACACACACACACACACACACTACCCCTTATCATTCCTGAATTTCAATTCTGGTATTCTTTAAACTTAGTCTTTAATGCACAGGATCCTATGAACTTATTAACCTTGCCTAACTACTACTATTGCTACTTGCCAGACTTGCAGAAGTTAAAAATATTATTACTATCATCACCATTATTATCATCGTTCTGGAAGGGTCACAAAGAATACTAGAAAAGTATACAATTGTGCAGTGTGACTTACAGTGTACCTATTGTGGGAAACCTAATCTTGAGTTGTACATTGTATTATCACTATGGGAGTCTTTACTCTCTGTTCACTTTTTCCTCAGCACAGAGAACTATTACATTATCAGAAAATAATATAGAAGTCCTGAATTCTTTGTCATATTTCTCCAATCTGAGAAATCTATAATCTTGTCTTCTCGATCTTTCCCTTTCTCTTTCTTCCTTCTATGTTCTTCCCTCTCTTCCTCCTCTTTCATGTACCTTGACTTTGTTAATTAGTAGCACTAAAGGAGGAAAACTTTTCTCAAGTGTTTTAATATCCCTACAGTTACATTTCCATCACTATTTATTTTATTTCTATAACAGAAATTTATGCTGGAGGTCGGAAATCCAAAATTAAAGTATCAACAAGACCAAGTTCTTTCCAAGGCCCTATGGAAAAATTCTCCTGTGCTCCCTTCAGTATTTGGTATCCCCAGGGGTTCTTCAGCTTTGTAACTTTTCACTTGTCTTCATATGACCTTCCTTCTCAGTTTGTGCCATCATGTGGCCTTCTTTTAAGAATTTAGGGCCTAAGTAATCCAGCAAAACTAACCTCAACTAACAAAGACCCCATTTCTAAATAAGGCCATATTCTGAGCTTCCTGTGGACATTAGTTTTGAGAGAAATGTACACAGGCCAGTAGATATTCAACCGATTGTTCTCATTGGGGTATCCCCACTTATTTAGTCACACTTTAATTTGGTTAAGTTGTACCTCCTGAGTCTGTGGGAGTGTTCTTCATAAAAATGCTAATGAAAACATAAAAGATGGCAGCTCAGTTTTCAGCAACTTCCCATGAAAGGAATATAATTCTGGACTTAAACACCTTCCTGATGGAGCTAAGTGATGACTAAGAATGCTGATGTGTCACTGGGATACTGAAATGAACTTGTGCACCAGGTGCCTTGGTTGGGGAAATACAATATATCCTGAATTACTGCAATATGTAATTTTGTCCACTCATTTTATATAACCAAGAATCACAGCATTCTTACGCTTTAGAAGTAGATATAAACTTTGCGATAAAACAACCTATAGTTTTATAAATGAAATGAATCAGAAGGAATATCCATTTGCTAATAATGGCAGAACAAGGTTTCCCAGTTCCTTGCTCAGTGTTCAAGTCAGACTTTTAATTTTTATTAATAAAAACAATTTCCATTATAAATTTTTGTCATCTAACACACTTTAGTTCTTGAAAACAACTTATAATATTATTGCAGTAAAAGAATCTCAGATAAATATATACAGGTGAATATTCTTTCAACAAAGTTGTTTATCTTTTTATGTTCCATGAAGCATGTATAAGTCTTTGCTATTAGTAAAAATTCTGGACTTAAACAATATTGAGCTTTTCATAATTATGTTATCCAAAGTTTCTCAGCTGTAACTATGGATACCATATGTTCAGTGAGACATACTGAAAACCAATTTTAAACTGTAAATCTTGAAAATATAATAAAGTTTTTCCCCAGTAAAAAGAATAAAAAAATGCCTGTTTCTTTATTTGTGCAGCATGAAATTTCTTCTTTATTCACTTTGATTCTGCATTTACACAAAAGTGCTGTAATAAAATATCTGTACACTACTTCTGTTGCAAATATAGATAATATTTAAAGTGACTTTATATATTCTAATGTAGGAGTTTTATGCTCTAAAATAGGAATGAACACATGATAATTTCTCACCAGTTGTCTCAATAAACAGCTCCATCTGTTTCCTTTAGTCTTAAACTATTGTATTATAAGATGTTGATATAAAGCAATGAAATGAAATTATGTTAATTTCCTTAATTTTTCTATCAATTTACTAATGGCACACAACCAAAATAATTACTAACATGTTGCTTTTTTTGTCATTAGATTAATACTAATTGAAAACCAATTGAACAGTGTGCTGACATATTTTTAGTGGTGTGTCAGTTAAAACCAGCAGCACTATTCTGTAAGGCTGCAACATTTCTTCATGGTTAACATGGTTGCTTTCCAAAGAAAACAGCACAGGATATTATAATTTTACTCACCAGAAATATGAAAATATTTTGTTAGATTAAAAATGAAGGTGAACAAAGATTGCATTACATGTTTTCTTTACAAGCTTAGAAATATATTTACTATTTACTCAATCTTAGAAACTTATTTTAGGAGAAAAATATGTGTATGTGAAGTGGGGGGATGCAATTTCTATAATGTCTAAATTATCAAATAGAGTATTTTTAAAAAGCGTTAATAGAAAAAATTTCCTTTTTTTAGGGGAAAATAGGGAAAGCATGTGGACTGATAAAAATGAAGCATTTTTATAAAATTCAAGATATTCTTCTTTATTTAACATTTTAATTTTCAACCTAATTCATGCTTCCACTAGCTTCAGAATTATTTTTTTCTCTATTTTGTTTAGCACATAATAATTTTTGCCTAGATGACTATAAGATATCAGCTATCTTTACAAAGAAAGACTGGGTTTACTTATTCAAAGTATCCTCTTTGACTTTTGCGTTTGCTAACTTCAAGGGGAATGGAAAATGATGCTAGGTAGTTAGAAAGAAAATCACTTCCACATGAGAAAAACAAACTTAAATTAAGGGAATTATCCCCTATAGTTCTGATGATCCCAAAGAAAACAGCAGGGGAACAGTATTCCATATTCCACAAGAGCAGCTCCAGTCTCCCAAAAGAGTGGGAGGTTGAGTGAGGTGTTCAGATGGCTCAATTCCGGCTGCAAATTCAGGACAGAACCATTAAAGTGACAGTGCCTTTTGTCCGCTTAAGGATGGCGACAGCTTCTTCATGGGTCACCCCTTCTAGACTCTGCCCGTTGACAGCAATGATCTGATCACCCCTTTTTAGACGCCCATCTTCGGAAGCTGCTCCCTGAAATTATAAAGTAGTCTTGTTTACTTCTCAAAAAGTGCTGCCTTGCAGCTACACAACAGAAAAAAGAGCTAAACAAGAATGTAAATTGCTCTGCATGTACACACACATTGCTCTCAAAGCTCCACGGGCACTCCACACACTCCACAGCCATTAAGCAATGATGAACATACACAAAGGAGGCCTTTCTCCTAAATGGTTTTAACATTGAGATTCCAATTTGAGAGAGAATTTAGCAGTCAATAGATAACTCGGATGTTTTTTTGGCTGTTCCACACAGCAGTTGGTGAAAACTCAAATTAATAAAGCATATTTGGGAATTTGCCTAGTAGGAATGATTTCATTGCATCCAAAATTGCCATCCTATAAAGTAAGCCTACAGATATGAGACAAAGGATTAGCAAAGCAGTTTTTCAGGACAAGGGCACAAGGACCAGAAAATCCAAAGTATGCAGAAGCATAGAGCTGACAGACAAGGGCCTGACAAAGCATGGACCTTGCTAATTGTAATTATTTCTGTAGTTTTAAAAGGACTCTTCAAGATGTTTGATTCTTTACTTCCTAAGAATTGGTGGAAACTTCATATTCTTTATGGGCCCTAATTGATTAAGATTAAACACAGACACTGATGTTGATGTTTGAAAAAGAACCTCATCTTAAGGCATGCTTATATAGTAGGCAGTTAAGCAATTAAATGTAAGATTAAATATATGGAAAAGTTAATGAGGGATCCATAATGATGAAATTCTTAAAATATGTTCTAACTAGCATGCCTAAATAAATTTCTAAGCTGAAGAAAAGGACGCCTAACTTCTATTCAATGGCAAATGCTGTTTGTATTTTTGGACATACCAACAGCTTAAAAAAAAAACTCATAAATTATGTCTATAACTAGACAGTTATACATAAAACATTTTAAATGGGTTAATAATATTTTTTCAACATAATAGAATGTAATCTTCATAGAAGTGCACTTTATAGGGGCACAGAACTAGCCTAAACATACGTGAAATCATTTAATATGTTTGACTAAGTTCTGTTCTTATATACTGTAAAATTTTGAGATTCTGGATTTTTTCTTGCAAGAAATTAGATCTGACTTTGTAGCTTATGAACTATGTCTTAGCACATTACTTAATGCTTTTATGGGTTTAAATTATTTCATTATTTTCACCAATGTTGAAGTAACTATCTTTATATTCAATAGTCTTAAGATAGAACAGGTTACTATATAATGACAAGTATAAACTTTTTTTTTTTTTTAATTATAACTTCTAACTTTAAGGAGGCCCTAAGTGCAGGTAATAGCTGTTTGATACTCTTCAAAGTTTTGGTAATTATTTTTAATTTTATCCAATGAAATTAAATTTACAAAGTGGTGACGCAGCGGGTAAAAGTGCAGCACTGTGAAGCTGGCAGGGGCCACTTTGGTGCAAGCTTGATCCCTACCCTGGAGGTGATCCACATGGCGCAGCAGACCTCTCTGTCTCATCTACTGCTCCCCTCAGCAATGTACATCGTCCATCTGCCTGTTTTGTGCCTGGCTCTGTCTCTGGTGAATCCTTTCACCAACACCCCTGCACCTCTGGCCTGTACCCCAGTAGTGTATGTATAAATAAATCTTTAAAACAAAAATAATGTCTTCCAAAGACAGAATATGTCTTGCAAGAACCTCAACAACTAACCCTAAACTCCCTAAAAAAAAAAAAAAAATGCAAAGTTAATGCCCTCTTACAGAATATACTTTCTATACCTGTTTTAAATTTCTTAATAACAAAAAATGCAAAGAAAAAGAAGTTAAAGAAGGTATCAGGGCTCTACGGCACACATTTTCAAAAAACAGGCAACCACATGCATTTTGTTTTCAAAGTAAAAAGAAAATCAGGCCTTACTGTCTAACTAAAATTCACTCATATTTGTATGTACATTGTGAACAATGCCATGTAATCAAATTGAGGCTGTTTATCTTTAAATACAAATAAACCTCAAATTGGACAAAGTATTAATGACCTGTTTCTTTTAGGAATTCCAAAAGAAAATCATCAACTGTTGGCCAATTGGTATTACCTCAGGCCATAAACTAATAAGCCAGATGCTGGCCACTGTTAATGAATGTTTAGAGTGGGAAAGTTGCTTACATTTTCAGGCTTACCTTTGCAAACACTGTTTTGACATAAATGGGTAAGTCTCCATGAGGGCTGCCGTATCCTCCTACTATACTGAAGCCTAAACCATCTGGTCCTCGATCTAAAGTAATAGACTTACATTGAGGAGGTCTACAATAAAGGGAAGGAAAAAGAGTTTTAGATTAAAAAATATTTATCTATGTGTATACCTACAAATCTACAAAGTATGGATTATCTGACATCCACCTAGAAGTAGCATAATTTTCTGCATTACTGACAGAATATGAATGATAGGTATTTTGGGGATATTTAAAACTGTCAGTGCTATCATGCTCAGTATTTGAAATTTACATAATCTAATGAAATCAGACTTAATATCCTAATTCTACTACTCACTCACAGTTGCCTTAAACTAACATATTCTCACTGCATAGGGAAGCTCATCCCTTTCCAGTTTCTTCAGAGAGAGGACTAAAGTACAGAAGACTTTCATGGAACAAGAAGAAACATCAGTATTGCCAAGTTCAGAGAGAAAAATAGATTATAAGCAATGTGAAATGCTGCATTAAGTTATTTTAAAACTCTAATACGCCCCTTCTCCTTCATTTTCTGACTCACTTGTACTCAAGGAGTGGGTAACCACATATTTTAAATCAAAAGGATGACTTATTAATGAGTAGGCAAAGTTGGAATTTTTAAAAGGACAGATATGACTTGTTTTCTGTCACACAAAGCAGTGACATCAAGACCAAACTGTCTACCAAAAAACTCAGAGCTGAACTGTGGAAAGGGCAGTGGCAAGCACGCACTATTATCTACACGCACAATAAACCAAACCCATGCCATAATTATCGAACAGTTTAGAGACGCTTCATTTCCACACTATATATCGTATCCATTATTTCATCTTAAGTGAGGGTTGGGGGGAACAAAATCATAACATACAAACTTACCCTAAATCATCCTGAAATATACTACTGGATGTCAAGCCAGTGAAAGAAAGTCCAGAACTGGCAGGTTCCTGTTGATGACCTGTGACCACACTCACATCTCCTCCAGCAACCACCTATACATAGAAATAGAGAGGAAAAACACATGATTGTATGGCTATGGAGACAGCAATAACTGTTCTTCATAAAGAGCACCTGACCTAAAATATGTATTTTATTGCCTACTTAATCACTTCTGATGACAAAGTTCTCTTCAACTGACAGTAAAAACATTCTAACTCAATTCTACAAATCTCTTCAATGCTTTTCAGACATGGTCGCATATGCAAACATTTTTAAAATATCTTTAAAATACAAGCTACTAACATCATTTTAAATTCTAGCAATTAAGTATTTACTACTAAGACTTTACCCCCCCTTTAGATGCAAGTAATAAACAATAAATGCATCAGGATAAAATGTGACAGATGTATTTCTTACATACTTTCTTAGAACTCTCATGTAATCATTTATGTTCATAGGTAATATTCTATAAAATAATAGCAGGAGACAATCATTTTTTATTGCTTTAACATCAAAGCACAAGTGTGTCCTCAAGCTAACCATATTCTGCATAGTGCTTGGGATGAAAATCTTACCTGCATTTCAATGGAGCCAGGGGCACTTTTCAATAAGTTAACTGCTTGGGTGTGAGTCATCCCCTCAGTGGATGTTCCACAGATTGTGACAATCCTATCTCCAACCTGCAAGGAGGAGAAAGAAAATGCAATGTGCCATGGAGAGTGGGACACTGGGCTCAAAAATAATTTCCTTCTCTACATTCCACAATCCCATACAGACTGGTACCAGACCAGTGATATAATTAAGGAAATCACTAAGTACAAGAAGCAGCAACCACAAAAAGCAGCCTGCACATAATAGTTGAGATCTATATAACTGAGTTCTATAGGCTCTAGGGATAGAAATAGGGGTGGAGAAGGAATCACATATCTCCATTTCTAGTAGGTAAGACACTGTTTCCTATTAAAAGAAAATATTTGTTATCATTTGGAAACCAGAATTTCTCTGGACATTATTATTATACATTACTAGAAATGACATTAAGGGGTTGGAAAAGTTTAGACACAGGCCAGATTCAGCCCATTGCTCATTTTGGCTAATAAAGGCAGTTCAGAAGATAGCCATGCATATTTGGCAACTTTTACAGGAAGAAGTGAGTAGCTGAAACAAAGTCCAAAATACTCATTATTTGTTTTTTCACAGAAAAAAATTTTCTGATGCCTGTGCTATGTGTAACAATTTTGTTAGTCATAAATTTAGACGTCAAAGAGATGAAAGTATTCCCAATTTAGACAATATTTAAACTAAGAGGTGATTATGTCATAAGAACATTTTTTTTTATATATGTGAAGCCATACAAATATTACTTTAATAGAGACTTCAGTTTAATAGTTACATGATTTCAGTACTGGGGAGTTAACATAAATTCCATGAAAGCATTCTATGTTTGGATGATCCCTCCACACAAATAAGTTTGGTAACATTGTGAGCATATTAATATTGAAATTCCACAAAATCAATAATCAGATGCAATAAAAATGCATTTCAATTTCAATTTAATTAAGTTTTATTGATGTTTAAACCAATAATCTATACAAAGAAAAAGTGTCACTTCACACTGGTGAAAATACTGTTTTCTTTTAATGCTTTCTATTTAAAACAAGTAAAAAATATTAACTACAAACCTTCTATATCGTTAGTTTGCAAATTTACATAAAACAGCAATTCTCTTTTCTTGACTCAATCAGCTGACTTAAAAGTGATACAGATAGTTAAAACTAGTTGCAACAAGTAGCCAGATTCAGCTTATAAAACTTTTGCCAGCTTTGCTAAGGCAACCAAGGCTATTAGTAAAACTTACTCTTAGTTTCTGGGTCTGAGCTGCAACTCCATTTGCATGCATCATTGCGATAAATATAGGAACATCTCCAAGCGGGCTGCCCACTCCTCCAGCAATGCTGATTCCCAATGAGTCTGTAGGTCCCTACCATGAGAGACAGAATATTCTTGCTAAAGTGGTATTTCCGATTCAGATTCACTTTTGCTTTCTTTAGCACATTCCATAGTTAACACTGATCTTCTAAGTGTGAGGACAGAAAATTAATTCAAGAAAATTGGATTACTTAAATTCAAACAGGTTCTCATCATGATTTAGAAAATAAACTGTTTAAAAAGCAAAGAAAATCATAACATAATAAATGAAAATCAGTAGTGGGGCTCATAAAAAAGCAGATAAGCTGATAAAGTGAAAGAGCCACAATTCTCAAAATCTGAGAGATCAATTTTCAAAGCCAGGAACTTGCACTTATCAACATTGGGAACTGGGATAATACCATCCCCTCCCAATCAATCACTAGATCTTCATTGACAAAACTGATCTCCACTCACAAAGGGCTGTGGCGAATATAAAATCAGAAGGTGGTGACCTAATTCTACAAGAGAGTTAGCACACAGAAATGGGTAACTAACCCATAGCTGCTTTTTTCTCTCCTATGTACAACTGTCAGAGGAATGTGATCCAGAATAGGAAATATCTGTTGAAAGCAAAGGCTTACTTTTCTGTATAAGCGACAGGTCACGCATTATTTTTGTGAAGTTACGTCAATGCCATTTTTGACAACACAAACAATGTCAACCATGGTTTTCCAAACAAAGCACAAAGAACAGAAAATTCAGGAAATATTGCATTGTGCTAATTCCACTGCATGTAATACTTTCTCACTGCTTAAAACATTTTTTTCCTATATAGTATTATAAAGCAGTACATCTACCAGGAAAATATGCATGTAAAAGCCTCTGAAGTAAACATAGTTTTTATTGTTTTCCCTTCCCCACATTACCTTTTTTATTTCAACTGTTCTTAATCCCTGTATTTCTGATGCCACTGTAAAGGTGAAAAAGAGAAAACGTGGGTATTAAAGCTGTAACTGTATCTGGATAAAACCAAATGGTACCCTAATTTTTTTGAAAAGGAGTGTTCAAAATTGCTATTAGATATGATTAAATCTTTTTTTACAGGAACTATTTCTCCAATTGGAAAAAAAAAAAACAAAACAGAAACCATTCCATTTTTTTCTTCTTCTTATAAACAGCGATTATATAACTACATAATCACTTTGAATGAATCAAGGACAGAATGTGCTTTTAGAGAGAAAGACACATGTGCACAGCTGAGAGGAACAAAGTCATGGGTGTATTAAAAAGAATCCATAGACTTAAGTGCCTAAATTTCTAGAATATTAGTCACATTGCAAACAGAGACTGCCATATGGTTAGTTTCCTCAATTTGAACAACTTTCAACCAATGCTCCCAGCCAAAAAAACATTCTGCATGATGATTTCATGTAATTAAAACACAGGAGGATTATATTCATTTTTTCAATCAAAATTTTTGGAATCTTCATGGAAAAGAAAAGCTTCACTAGATAATATCTTCTGATTTATTGGTGCTACATTAAACAGAAGTGAAATGAAAATCAAATGGGAAAAGCTGCCATAGGCACAGCTTTGTGTTGTTCAGAATTCTTGCCTACATGTATCTTTGCACCAATATCAAGACATGGAATTATCTGGAAGAAAAATATTTCAGCAGTAAACTAAAGTGTTGGGAGGGGGAAAAAATCAATTGTTAATGACCAAAATTCAAATCTGTGAACTGTGCATAAATATCAAACTGACTGATCTTACGTGCATTCTTCTTTGAGCTACTTTCCAGTGAGTCAGAGGTACTGGATCCACAAAGTGGAAAAGTGAATGATGACAGGCTGCCTTCACTCATCTGCAAATATATAACGATTATCTTACAAAGTTTTGGAAGCAATAACACACCCTCTAAAAGCCATTTATTTCAGAATTCAATTTTTTTCCTGTATCTAGAGAGAAATACTATACCAGTGCAATTGGTACTTTGAAGGGCCATTTAGAATTCCTACTCTCTCTCTCTCTTTTTTTTTTTTTCTCCAAAGAAGTGGTCTAGAGACAGAAATAAACTGAAGGGAGAAGGGTAGATAAAACTGATTTCAGTTAACTGAAAATTTCAGCACATTTCCATAATTTGATTCAAGTTAATCTCAAAATTTAAACCATTTACATGACTGGAAAGGGGCCAATATACAGGAAATAAAATGCAGGCAATAAAAGGGAGTCAACCGGGATGAGTAAGGGATCTTTAATTAAGGACAGATTGATGAAAACAGGGCTTCTGTGATCAGAAAAGACTGAGGCAAGAGACTTGCAAAAAAAGTTGAGCTATATAAGCACACTGAATAAAGGGAGCAAGAATCTACAGTTCACCTGCATGGAGTATTTCCATTTGAGCACTGATTAATAAGTGTTTCAAAATCATTTAAAATGTTACCTTGGTTTGCTTTACATATATTAAACTATATAAAGCTGAATATGTATGAAAACTCATCAGAAAAGAAGAATGTTTGAAATAAGGTTGCACAGAATAACAAAATCTTCCAGTCTGCCTTTTGTTTACCTGTCTACTCTAATTTCTTGCTATTCCCTATAGACTGTCTGTAAGCCAGTCCACCAGCACTCCAGCCTGTGCATACACCCGCTGGCAGAGCCACAGTCAGGGTTCCACTGAGCGCATTTTGGCATGTGGACCCTGATGAGTTCCACAGCTACCCACCTGGCTCACTTGAGAAGGCCTCCTCTCCGAATGAAATGCGGCAGCTTTGATTCTTCCAACTTCCAAGGTTACTGTGCCTAGGGAACACTGGGGGATTGGTTGTTTCACGGAAACGTTTAATGTGCTGTCATGATTTTAGGAACACATTTTATTCTTCAAGGCAAAATTTGTGAAAGGTATCCTCCTTTTGGAATTTCTACAGGCAAGGATACCTCCAAGTTTTTGTAGAATGAGGCCTTTCTGAAACCTCAGAACTCATAAAAATAATGACAGGCAACAGCACCACCAAGAGTCTTATTACCTCATGATTTACATAGAGATTGCTTTTACCAACACAAAGTAAATGAACAATTACCTCATAAAACACACTGATTTAGATGTGCCAAATGAACTAAATAAATGAAGATTTAAAAGCAAGACCGCTATAAAATACTTAAATAAGCCACAATGCTATACATACAAAGTAAGAATTTAAGACAATGTCCCTGTAGCCTTTTACAAACAAACCACAAGCATGCAAGAAATGCTATATAGTTTAGTGTGGAAGTCCACAATGAGATCCTGAGCTTTTAGAATCAGACTATATGATTTACTAGCTGTGTGACCATGACAGATATCTATCTTGGTATTTTTTTCTGAATTTTAAAAATGGAGATGATAATCAGTTACTTTGATTAGTAAGATAATCCATGTGTAATGTTTATGACAGTTTTTTTTTTAAATTAGCATTTACATAGAGATTAGGCAAGGGTATTATTATGCTGCTTCTGATGGGGGTGTCCATACCAAGGTTCATAGCACTCCTGAACATGCAGGTTATGAATAAAACTGGAAAGGCTCAAAACTTTACCTGCAATATCTAAGCTGTTTTGTTGGGGAGGTGGGAAGGAAGGACTTATCAAACCCATCTTAAACCTATTTGCCTGTCCAGTTTATGTAACTATAGATAGAGGTTAACAAGTTCTATCCATTATATACCATGTGAAGTTATAACTCTTTCATCTACCTTACAACATAACATGTCGCTTTCAAACTTCAAGGGAATATGTTATTATTATTAAAAATATTGAGTTTTTAACTATTAAAACAATTCATGTTTATTAAAGAAAATTTTGGAACTAAAACAGGAAAATAAGACTATATGTCTCTAATAATTACTTCCCAGTTATTGTTAACAAAACTATAAGACCTTTATATTACATACTGATATCTATGCTGTAGATACAATTTTGTCCTATATTCTCCCTGATTATATTTTTTACGTTCAAAATTACCACTAGTATCATTTTAAAGACACGTCTATCCTGCACTTTGCTCTGCTTACTAAAATTAACAGAGTTTTGGTCAATTGTGTTGCATCATTATAAAGAGCATAGCCAAGAACCTTAGCACATGACATTTTTGTTTACTGAATATTATTTGAGATTTTTATATGAAGAACTATTAAGTTAAAAAAAAATAAGCAGCAACAGCTACAGTTATCAAAGTTCTGCAAATGCTTAAGATTCTCATTATATACTGTCAAATGATTTTTTAAACACTAGCTTGGTTAAAATCAATTTACTGCTTTCTGGATGTTTCCTTCTCTCTTTAAGTATATTGTATAGAGTTAATAGTTATTTTAACTTATCTCAAAATGGAGGATACTACTCATTAAAATTTATATTTACCTTATTAAAAAATCAATATATCTGTAAGAAATGATACATGTTAAGTGCATTTTATTAATATCTAAATTTAAACAAACACTAATGTACCAGATCCCATCCAAATCCCAGAGGTGCATAATGCAGGATTAGCTGAAAATTCCCCCAGGAGTCTTTGTCACTGAAGCAAGGTCCTACTAGCACCTGAGAACTTGAATAGCTCTAGTGCTGCCAGCCACTATCATGAAGTCTTCATGTCACTGACACACTTCACGTGACCACCCCGTGGTACCACCCAGTAGGATCTTTGTCTCATCAAGATTGAACTATACATCTTCAGGCATTTAGTACACACTTCTGGCCAAAGAAAATGAGGTAAGTTTGCTTTTTGTAGGAACGTAAGTTCCCTCTAGAAAATGGAATATTCTCTGACAGGAAATAAGCTAGAGTTCCTACAGTTATATTTTTAAATGCCTACTGACTATTTTACAATTTATTTTATAAGTGATACAGGCTCTGCTTTTTTAATCAGTAAATGATTTCTTCTTCATGGAGAAAATATATTTCATAACTTAAAATGAACCAAAATATGGTAATTATTAATATAATTCACAGTGAAAGTTCTGTCACGTTAATAATCCACACTAAATCACCTTCACTTCCTAACAATGAACTTTGATTTTTTTTTTAAAGATTTATTTTATTTATTTATGCATATAAGAAATGAGGTGTCGGCCAGAGTTTCAGGGTGGGTGAGAAGATTCAGAGACAGAATGGGGAGCAACACAGGCAGATTGACTGAAAAATACAGCTCTGGGTAGCAGCAGGCAAGACAGGAGAGATCTGCTGCACCATATGTAGGTTAGCTCCCTGGCCATGGATGGGACTCAGGCTGTAGCAGCGATAGAACTAAGATTTAACCCCTAGGCCACCAGAAGGCTCTTGAGATGACTTTTTAAATACAATAACTGTTACTATTTCACATTGGTAGCTTAATTTACATTCTATTTCTTCTGTATTACTCTATAAATTTTTTAGACTTTTACCTTTAGCAAAGCAGCTACAGTTTCCTGAGTGGCATTACGGACATCTTCTCCATTCACCATTAATATCTGGTCTCCCTGCATCAGTCTGCCATCAGCATCTGCGATTCCTCCTTTGACAATGTCTGATACAAATACTCCAGTGTCATTTCTACAAACAAAACTTTGCATGTCAAAATTTTTTTCTCAAACATCATAAAATAATAAAAAAAACTTTTTTTATAAAAAATTATTTATTTATGCATACAGAACTGGGGTACGGGCCAGAGGTGCAAGGGCAGTGAGAGCATTCACCAGAGACACAGTGGGGAGCAGAACAGGCCGACTGATGGAGGACACTACTGAGGGGAGCAGTGGGCGAGTCAGGAGAAGTCTGCTGTGCCATGTCGGTCACTCCGGGGTGGGGGTTGTACTCGCACTGAAGTGGTTTCAGCTTGCTATAGCTGTGCTTTAACAAGTTGCACCACCAGGAGGGCTTTGAAAGCTAATTTTTTTAACTTAAAAGTTTACTTCCATTTCTGTGGTTTTAAATATTTTATCAATTTCAGCCTTACTGTATATTCTAATACATTACTTGAATTTTTATTGTGATAAATAATATTTCATGTCATGTCATGGTATTTCATAGCTTAAAGAGATATTTATAAACATTTATTCTTTAATAAGTGTATAATGGTTAGAAGTGGCTATTATTTTCATTTTATGGGTAACACTGTTATTAAATGGCAAAAACTGAACTTAACTGTCAGTTCATGGGTATTTAGTCTACTGTTCTTTTCTATGCCATAATGAAGTCTGTAACCAATATTTACTGTTAAATAAAAATGGTACAATTTGCATAAACATCATTAATATTATTAAATGTGTATCTCACACTAAATCCAATTGTTATCTAAAATTTAATAGTACCATTCTTGTGATCTTTTACTTTGAAGTAATTACAAACTTAACTTTCATATTTGATAGATTTATTCAAAATGAACAAATAGGAATTTTATTTTAATCCTCTTTTCAATGATAAAACTATAAATAAACCAAGAACTTGCTGAGATACAAAGATAAATGTAAGTGAAATATTTGCTGGGAGTTTAATTATATCTCATGTTCTTATCAAGGTCATGTGTTCAATGAGGCAGTTCACCATTTGATCTCCTGCTTTCCCTTTTTCTGAATAATAGCGCTTAACATACTATTTTATATGTATGTTCACCAGTTTGCCATTCCACTCTATTTAACTTTCTATTACCACTTAAAGACATGTTCTCTTTCATGCTGATCCTTTTGCTAGACCTAAAATTATCAGTTAACTATTTTTTTGCCTCAGTTCAGACACCTCTTTTTTAAGGAGTTTTCCTAATTTACTTCCCTTAAACAGTCACATGATCTTGATAAGAGGGAGGAGACTGAGTGAGACACTAGGATTGTAAGTAGGAAATATGCACACACACAATGTTTATAACCTATATGCTCAGAGTTAATTTTCCAGCCCAAGGACACATCTGGGGGCATGCAAGGGAACCAGGGCTATTTGAAGACCAGCCTCAGCCCACTGGGGTAAGCCTGAGGCCAGGTCTCCAGGAAGGTGATATGGAAATCCAGGGTCTTAACATCACAAACTCCTGGCAGCAGTAAAGTCCAGCTCACTGCTCAAGTTTGATGCTACATTAACTAAGTGGGCTGACAATAACTGCCTACAGAATACTAACAGAAAATGACTCCATTACTACTAGTATTCTTCAAGGAAATTTAAAGTCAGTCATTTCCAAAAGGTGAGTGAGTTTGACCTCTTCCAAGTCATACCTTTTGCCAACAATACTTAATCCCAGACCTTTTCCTGGCTTCTTCTGCAGCTCAATGGTGAGGGTGTCATAAACATCCTCCTCTTTATATGGAGCCTCGTCTCTGTAGAGAGTGAGACGCACTCTTTGTGGTGTCTGTCTCAGGACATTTATTGCTTCATCATGGGTGGCCTTTCTCAAGTCAATTCCATTCACCTGTATAGAAATGGGAAATGACTATGACAGATATGATAAACTGAGAAAGAGAGAGAGGGAAAAGAAAGAGAAGGGGAGAGAGGAGAAAGAAAGAAATAGGAAGCAAAATCTGTTTTCCACAGAGCAACATTTTCTTTAATAATTGTAATGGCCAAAAGCACAGCAAGCATTCCATACCTCTAAAATTTGATCTCCAGCCCAAAGTCTTCCATCTTTACATGCTGCTCCCTCTTCATAAACTTCATGGATAATAATAGCACCCTAAAGGCCCAAATGAACATTCATCCTTTATCATTCTCTCAAGGAATGGTGAGTAAAATTGGAGTTAGAAATAATATACTTTTACAAGCATTAATAGGGCTACAGACTTATGGCTATATAATTTATCAGAATTCAAAGACAATTACTAAAGGCTCAAAGAAGCTTATAGTTCTTTCTAATGATAGTGAATTTAAAGCAAAAATTGTAAAACATGTAAATTATACATATATAGGCATGATAATATATGCAATGGATATAACACCTCTCCTAGCTACAAATGAAGTGATTAGATTTGAAAAGTTACTTTCGTTATTTAGAAAATTTTACATACAAATTACTCAATTTTTCAAACTTATCTCAATAATCCAATTATATTTAGTCAGAAAAAAGGAAATTAGAATATACCAATGACTGGGGAACTGATAGACCTATTATGAACCTAAAGGTCACAATCATAGATGTAAAAGAATCTTATTGAGTCAGATTAATGTACTCAAGATAAACATTCCCGTACACAGTTCAATATGCGATAAATTAAAATAACAATGTATAAGGCATAAGCCCTTATATTTCTTTAATAAAACTGAAAGCAATCTTCCCAGTGATGACCTCTCAGCTCGATGAAGGGCCTGCCTGTGTGTTTGAAGCTTCTCACCAGAAGAGTGTCAGACCCTCCAACAATGCTCAAGCCCAGTCCTGTTCGCCCTTTGGAAATTTCAATTGTTGTTTCACACCCTGGGATAATGGGGCAGGTTGCAGGATCAGAAGCAAAGATTGCTGGTGTTGAAGATCTGCTAGTACCTAAAATTTAAAAAAAAGTAAATAAAAATTGATTTGATAGTATTATCTCTCAAACTAACACATCTTTGCCTTGGGAAGGACAGAGTAGGAAAATAAACCAGGACTAGTGATATTCAATTTACCTTAATCTTTTATCTATAATTAAAAAGAACAAATTTGACTATATTATATCATCATTGGTAATTTAAGGTGGTGCATAGGCATGAAAATTTTCTTTATTATTTTGAAAGTTTTAGATTTATAGCAATAATATATATAAAGGATTGAAAACAGTGAATTGACTTGAACCACTAGTTTCACTTTAATAATTTACGTTTCACTGCAGTCAAACAAACTTGTTTTAAAATTCTCATTTATAAATCTCAGAAATGAGATATACAGAAGGGACCTAAACACCTTAAAACATAAAGCACATCAGTAGTTCTGACCATGTTGCCACTGCCTTTCAAAGCTGTTTCTGCTTTTTTTTTTAATCATTCTAGACCAAGTCTCACATAATTAAATCTGAGCAAACATGCAACTGTATTTAATATCTGATCTTATAAACATAAAGTAAAATCTATTTGCAGTTTGTTTCCTTGATCTCTCTTGATGTTTTATAAACTCAGATATTAAATACAGGTACATACAGGCTCAGAGCTGAATAGATATGAAAAACAAGGAGAATGTAATTTCACACCTTGTTTTATGATAGTCTTTATATCATATGTTTTATGATTTACCAAAGAGCATACAACAAACAGCATATTTTGAGAAAACTAGGACACTTGGTAGAGTAGCTTATGCTTTATACAAGATGCTCTTCTTAGGAAAGAATCTGAGACAGACTATTTTCTTCCTCCTGAAATGGCAAGAACAGGTGTAAGATAGTGTCTTTTATGTTATGTTTTCATTCAGCATATTTTTCTAGACAACATTATTTAGGGATTCACATAAAACTGAAAATTGAGAATATTTCCATAAATTTTTAACACTTCCGTGAATTTTACCCAGTCTTTCTAAATGAATTACATTCATCAGATATATTTTACTTTAAGAACTTTTCTCCAACTATATTACAAAGTTTTAAAATTAAAAAAAAAAAAAAAAACAACGTTCCTGTTAGAGCCCAGTTCCACAAAAAGCCAGTATGTTTAAAGCATTTTTTTATATTTCAAAGTTTGAAGTTTATTGTTTTATTAAAGAACACTGTTGTTTGTCTCAAAAAGTAACTCAAAAGAATAATCTGTCTCAATATACTAGAATGAACTCTATTTCAATCTACACAATTGGATCTACTACGTATATTGTGGCATTGACAAATTTTCTTGTTACTTCCAGAATCAGGCATAGCTGATCCCATGAGTGAAGCGGGTGTTACGGTATCTCTCTCACCAATTAGAACACTGTGACTCAGAGAAGTTAAATTACTTGCACAATATAAAAAAAGTAAAGCACTAATGTTATAATTCATAGTCAGAAACCTGAAATCACAGGTTTCCACAGGAAAAAGTCATAGAAGATCACAAAGTATCATCATTTGTTTTAGAATGAAGGAGGTTAGACTAGGAGTGGCAGAGGACTCCTAGCCCTACGGCCAATTACTGTACAACACATCATCACATGCCAAGAGGCCAGCACTCTCTCTTAAGAAGTCTCTCTTTATACCACCTCTCACCAATGTCTCCTTAACTGCGGCCTTTCAAACACTAACTACAGGGACTTGCTGAGTTCGAGTGTGTCAAACATGCAGGCTTTGGGTGAGGCTAGCCCCTTACTTCGGACAGACTCTGGTTCCTGGGAGCCAGGTGGAGGGGCCATTGCAGACTGGGAGCTGTTCCTTTTTTCTCCAGTGGTTGAAGCAGAATCTGGATTCTCAGCACAAATAGTAAGTTTCACTGATGTCTTTGCTGTTTTCAAAAGGCTAATAAACTGGTAAGGTGTTGGTGTGGGAGGCAAAGAAAATATAAAATCAAATTAGTAGCTGTTAATAAAGAAGTCACTTTTGTGATTGGTGTCCAATTCTATCTATGCTTTAGAAAGAGTTATTGGAAAACTATTTCCTTGTCAGGACTTAAGGGATCAAGAAAGAATGATTCTAATTTCTTTCTAGTTTCTCAACTTACCTGATATACATTAATGCCACAGTCATTTTCTACTATAAGTTTAGTTCTCACCATACTCTGCCTTATTTAAGAACAGGGTTTTCAACCTTTTACATTTTTCATCTACCTCTCTGATTCCCTACAATCTTAGAAGACATGAAATATTGCACCTACTTCCTGATTCTACAGTGAATCTGCAGTAATTTATACAAGCATTCTGAATAAAAAAAGGAAAGCTACACACTAAAATAAGAATAAGAAAAAACTGCAACAGAAGAATCAGTCAAATGGATAGTTAGGACACAGACCAGATTAAATGATCTAAACTTTGCAAGTATTCACACTGAATTTAAGCTGAATGAAAGCTTTTTGCTGGCCAAAGCTTTGAGTGCATAGATGGAAACATTTGCACACTAAATCTCAAGAGTAACACAGTTTTTATTCTGGCATTTTTAGTGAAAGGTCTCAAGGAAGACTCATCATAAGTACTTTAAAATTTGAGGAGGAGGAAACTCAGGTATAAAGAACTGTTTAACCAATAAAAGTTACAGATTTTTTGAGTATTAAAAAATGTGTATAAAGAAAAATACACAGTGTATATTTAATGGAACAAATATTCATTAAAAAGTATTCTTTTAGTGTTAACACTAAGTTGTCCTTTTAACTGCTTCAAGGTTTCTTACCGGCAACCAAATGAAAATTATCCACAATGCCTACTGAATACGGAATTTAGCAGTCAACAGAAGGTATCTCAACATCACTGTGATTGAAAAACAGAAACTGAAGAAATTCTGGATAATCTCTTAATTTTTTCCTTAAGAATATATAGCATAGCTTTTAAAACTGTGATCCACCAAACACACACACACACACACACACACATACATAAACATACACACAGTCGCCATGCACAAGGAGAGTTCACATTAATATTTGCTTTCTTTTGGAAAAGTACCTTTTCAACAGGATGGCCAACAACAACTTCATCATCGATAGCCAAGATCTGATCTCCAACTTTGAGTCGTCCATCCTAAATGAAAACAGGTCCCATTTTGAGTGATTTCCAAGAAGTAATTCTCCAACAATTTGTGATACCGGGAAATGTAGAGCCTCACCCTGGCTGCTACCCCATGCTCTGTTAGACTCTTTATGATGACTCCGTGGAGTGTATCTTCTTCACTGATAGCAATGCCCAAACCCCCTTGATCCTAGAGAAATAAAAATGACAATTCTCAGACTCAAAACAGATTAATTTTATACAAAAGAAAAGGTATGAGGACATAACTGTTGAATGCTACCTTACATCCAAGCAGTAGAAGAGTCATTAAAACTTTCATAAAGCCCATTATTAGAAATTCTTTCAAGGAACTATGGTGGAAGATTATGGTGCTTCTGTGGTGGGAGTAGAGTGATAACATACATTGGTAGAAATGTGAACCTAGGTCCACCCTGGTGGCACAATAGGTTAGAATGCAGCACTGCAAGCTAGCTACTGCTGCTTCAGTGTGAGTTCAATCCTTGACGTTGGAGGTGACCCATATGGCACAGTAGACCTCTCCTAGCCTGCCCACTACTCCACTCATTAAGTGTACTTTGTTGATCTGCCTGTTCTGCTCCCCACTCTGTCTCTGCTGGACCCTCTCACCACCCGTGTACCTCTGGCCTATACCCCAGTTCTTTTGTATGCATAAATACATAAATCTTTAAAAATGTGTGAACCTATACCCCTAAAACATATACTGTGCTATTTATCAACTACTCAACAAACAAATTTTTTAAGACAGAAATTCCTTCTTTTCTTAAGCAAATCACATTTTTTCTAAAGGGAAATTCCATCTATTTCTCCTACAAAGGAATATTCAAGTATTTATACTTGAATATTTCATATCCATATGTATAATCTAATATGTGGGTATTCACTCTCTCATATGTGTGAGTGTGGTGTGTGTGTATATGAGTACAGTCATCTATCATGTGTAACTAACAAAATAACCAGAGAACAAAACTGCACTTAATAATTTAAGCAACATACAGTTTTTCAAATAAGTTTTATGTCACTGGTAAACTACAAAGTTATTTAAAACCAAAATATCTTCCTCCTCTGAATGATGGCTTAGAAATGACCACCAAATTGGGTTCCTTCATCCCTTTCTGCCTTCTTTCTTTCTAAAACAGGGACTGCTGATATTCTGTCCATTCTATTATTGATTGTGCATATTTGTTTCTCCCGAGAGTTGTGTTGTGATCTGTAATAGAATGAAAATATTCTGAACTCTGACCTCAAAATCCTGCACTGAAAATCTATCAGGCCTGTATGTCTATATTACTTTGTCTATATTTTTCACATTTTTTGTATTGAAATCAAATATTCAGTAACAGTGATGTTTGCCTTTTTTAAAATACTTTAATAAATTTAAAATCAAATTTAAAATTTTTCATCTAGGGAAATATAAAGCAAAAGAAAGAGAATCTTGTCATAGTCTTTCTGCAATATACACAGGAGAGCAAGGGTTCCCATCAGATATTTCATATCAAGGCAAGGCTACACCACCATTTTAAAGATGATCAACTCTGTGGCTTTTTTGTGGTAGATTATTAATGTCTGATAACATTCAGACTATCACTGTGTGTCTCTCTACTGCCACTTTGTTCAGGATATCAGTCATGTGCATAAGACAGAGAAAACTATCACCTGAGGGTGAGCAGAACTGGGTTCTAACTTTCTTTCTACCCAGCTTTAGAAAGTTTTCATCATAAATAAAATAGAACAAGAAAACTTTCCCATCAGCAAAGTTGCTGTTAGGGTCAAGTACAATAACGGAGGGTTTAACAGCTTGACATGTTGTACAAAAGTGCTACTAAACATATACTCTACTTACAATTCTATAGGATATAACCCAATATGCTTCAGATACTCTAACCTTGCCAGAATTTTGAAGCCCCCAAACCTAATCTAATAGTAAAAGAATCAGGCTTAATAAATGAAAAGATCAGCAAGCTACCAAAATGACCAAATCCTAAGGTTTTTGCCCAAAGGAAATTATGTTCCCTCCATTTGGATTTCCCATACCAACAGGTTTCTCTGTTGTCATGAAGAAATATTTCTTTATATAATAATCTACATCTAAGGCCCTCCCTGGGGGCGCAGCGGGTTAAAGCACTGCACTGAGAAGCTAAAGCCACTTCCACATGAGTTCGATTCCCGCCTGCCCGGGAGATGACCACATGGTGCGGCAGACCTCTCTTGACCCGCCCGATGCTCCCCACAGCAGTGTACTT